TGATCGTACCGCCCCCAAATCCTTGAAGTGGGATTTTAACTACTTTGAGCTGTTCAACCGAAATCCCCATTCTAGAGTATGCCTCATGAAAAAGTATGTTGGATGTGCTTCCATTGTCAACCAATATCCTCTTTACCTCAAAATTAGTTATGATTGCTGATATGATTAAGCCATCATCGTGTAGATGTGACAAGCCTTCCAAATCCTGTGACTCGCCTTCCAAATCATGTGACTCGAATGTGATTTCTTCCATGTCACCAAGCATTGTCCTCAAGCTCGGGCTATACTGCCTGGTATATTGCTTACGCCCAGTGTATGAGTCTCTTCCTGATGCTATTCTCCCAACAATATTGTTAATGGTTCCTGCCGTAGGCCTGTCATTCCCTTTTCCTTCTAGACCTTTCCCCTTGTCTCGATCGTTCCTCAGGCACTTGTCATAATTAATGTATGAACTTAGAAATCCCATTTTTATTAGAGCCGCAATCTCATGCTGGAGGGTTTTGTAGTTCTTCATTGTACGCCCATGATCCCCGATGGTAATCACAATACTTGCTCATGTCTTGAGTATTGGGAAAAGATTGCATCGTTGAAGGCCATTTAAGCTCATTCGCATCCTTGATCTCTATCAGAATGTTAGACCTGGAAGTGTTCAGACGATTTAGTGACGTCGGCCGCGCCTCCTGCCTCTGCTTGTTCCTGTTAGCTTTTGGATGAGGATTAAAATCGTGTTGTCTTTTGTGTTGGGGCTTCTCCGAGGTCGGGTGAGGATTTTCCCTCGGGTTAAGTGTTTCCTCTATATTAATATATTTTTTTGCTCGAGTAAGTAGTTCGGTCGCAGACTTCGACGGGTTTTTAGAGAGAGACATCTTAAAGGCTTCGTATCTTATAGCATACGTAAGGGAGGAGATTACTGTTGTTATGTGAAGGTCGGGTATTTGAAGTCTTTCCTTATTGAACCTTGTCATAAAGTTACGTAGGGATTCATTCAGTCATTGCTTGAGCTGCATGAGGGATGCGGCTGCCTTCTTAATGCGTTTGCCACTAGCAAAGAAGGCGAAAACTTGTCGGCCAAGTCAAAGAATGAAGCAATGGAATTGGGCTCTAGGGTAGAAAACCAATCCCTAGCAGCGTTAGTCAAAGTTTGTGGAAAAGCCTTACACATCCGGGATCTAGTGCCACCTGTAGATTCCATGGTAACCAACCTCGAGGCAGCTGAGGGTATGCCCGAGGCTCTGGATCCACCATTGCCATGAGCTTCGCGAGTATCCCGAGCTCGAGCATCAGTCATTAACCCTCCTGGTTGTCCTATGTTGGTGTCGAAGGATGCACCTGTGCAAGATGGGCATCCCTCTGGCTTAGTAATTGAGTAAGCGTTGCAATTTGTTGACGAAGTTCTTCGAAGGCACCCGCTGTAATCACCCATTGTTGGGGAGTTGGTACTGCCGATGGTTCCTCTTGATGAACTAGGGGCTCCGTAACAGGTGGTGGGTCTAGTGCGGATGAGCTTGTTGGAAGAAGACCTAAACGTGTGTTGACCATGTCTTTTAGTGGTGATTTCCACAGACGGTGCTAATGATGTTACCAAAAATCGTACATGTTGACTTCCGAGCTTGACGACTGAGAACGACCATGAATGAGGTCTTCCTGTACCTGAAATAATGGTGTCGAGGTGTGTCATCGTCGTCCCTCCGATATTTAAGTCAGGGAGAAAATTTGCGAAAAGATATGTGCTCAAAATTATGTAAAATCATGTACCTTGATAATGATTTGGAATGATGTATTTATAGAGATAGGTAGTTTATTCCTAGTAGGATTACAATGTTGAAACCCCTAGGAGTTCTAACGTGATTAGAAGTTGTAACTTAATTGGTTTTGTATCATCCATGTGTTTTGATAAGGATATGACTCTAATGATAGAATCCTTTCAGGATGAGGTAACATATTAAAAGCAAGACTATATCTCTTAGGTTTGAATAAACCTTGTCACGAGGGAGAATCCTAATAAGTCGAGGGGTGCATGATAAGAGGTTTAGTCGTGATCTCGAGGAAGACCTAGTGGCCGAGAATAGACAATCCCGAGGAGATAGGTCGAGGAGGTCACGAGTCGTTGAAGCCAAATTGGAAAGATACTCCTCGAGATCCGGGCTCGAGCTCGGCCTACATTGTACTCATCAGTTATTATTTTATATAATTAACTCTAAATTTTGTCTATAGTTCCAATAATCACATTTTCTTTTATTTCATATAGATGGCATTGGGAGTAACAAGAAACTTGAAAGGGAACAATACATATCTCAAATTTTTACTTTACATCATTTCAAAAATACAGGTTTTTTAAATTTTTATTTATGAAATAATAAATTATTAAATTAATTTATTATTACATATTTAATTCTAATATAACATAATTACCCCACCCCACCTCTACCACCCATACCGCTCCGGGGACTATTTCAGCTACCGTTCCGGTCACAACTCTTCTCCAACAACTATTCCGGCGACGTTTCGACAACTGCTCCGATTCTGGAGACTATTCTGATGACCGTTCCGCTGCCCTTTATTCTGGTGACTGTTCTGATCCGGCAAGTGTTTCAACTCCGACGAATATAATAAGGTTACAGATCTATGCAATTTGGTCACAATTCAAAATTTTTTAGGTCACAATTCAAAATTTTTATAAGTCGCAATTTGTTCATCGGTCACAAATTAAAAACTTAAAAGTCACAATTTGTTCATCGGTCACAAATGACAATTTATAAGTCACACCAATTTTTTTATGGCCACAAACATCACATTAATTGAACATAAATTATATTTAGGTCACAATTTAATAATTTTTAGGTCACACAACATGTATTGGTCACAGTTTATCTAATTCATTGGTTACACAACAACCAAATTATTGGTCACACAACAACCAAACTATTGGTCACAATCAACCAAATCATTTGTGATCGTCACCAAATCATTTGTGACCACCACTTCCTCTACCAGCGACACCACCATCGTCGCTGTCCAATAGCAACATCAACATCTTAAAACGAACACCACGCCCTCCCCAGCACCACTATCACCATCCCAAACCCACCATCTCCACACGCACCACCAACACGCACGCACAGCATATCCACAGTCGCAACACAAACGCACATCGAATCCCGATCCCACAGCATCTCCACCACCATTGCGCAGCACGACCACCCCTTCCGCACGCATGCCCCGTACTACCATGGCACCCACATCAATCGTCAAACCACCACCATTCAACCGTACCTCCACCTCCACAGTAGTCGTTCAAATCGCGACCACCGCACATAAATAACTGTTGTCGCCGCACGCACGCACGAACACACACACACCCCATCACACCGCAACCTCACTCCACGCCTCTACCACTACCGAACCGCTCAAACAAAAACAAAAAAAATACAGATCTGCACCTCTCCAACCGCCGCACCAACATACACCCAACTGCACGATCGCTGCCGCACGCAGCACGCACAGCATAACACCCTCACCCGCTGCAATACAACCATCGCACAACCTCCGTCGCACCGAAGGCCTCCACCACACCACTCAAAAATTACAAAAAAAAAAATGACAGAGACTGTTGGATCTGCGTTGCATCATCACAGAAGAGATAAGACATCGCCGCCATCAGATATGAGAGTCGTTACGAGCGTCTTCGTAACCGGTGAGGGAGATGAGAGAAGACAGAAACATAAATGAGAGAAAAGGACGGGAATGAGAGAAATGAACAGTCAGGGAGAGAGATGAATATTAGGTTTTGATTTGGGTAACATTAATTAATTGGGATGAAAATTATATAATTAATATTTAATTAAATATAAAAAACTTGATTTTTGAAAAATTAAACTTGTAATCTGACTTATGAAAATGATTTTTTAAATACAGGTTTAGGTGTAATTTCCTCAACTTGAAATGAGCTAAAGATCCATTTTATTTTTTACACAAATAATGAAACAAAAGATCACAGACCGGCTCTTCACGGACATGGGCCCATGGGAATAGCATGGCCTGGACTTGCTTGGCCCCTCGGTCAATGAGCCAGCCCAGTACTGACTCGTTGACTGATGAATTTTTACACAAATAATGAAACAAAGGACCACAGACCGTCTCTTCACGGACATGGGCCCATGGGAATAGCATGGCCTGGACTTGCTCATTGACTAATGGGCCGAGCCCAGTTTGGCTCGGTCATTGCCACTGCCAATGCTGGACTCACATAGAAATGGTGTGAAGCACTCAAATGTTTATTATCAGTGGTTAAACCATACGAGCACTTAACTTCCCAGTAAAGCACACCAATGAAGGCACTATGTAAGTAATGTGTGTGAAAAATGTAGTTCAAATTGAGCTAGTTGGCCAGCAGATGGTTCAGTACAAGATAATAAAAGAAATAAGCTCGTAAATGAAAAGTGACTCGTCCATAAGAGTACAAAAGCTGAAGGGAAATAAAGGATCAAGAACAACATAGACGCAAAAATTCAACTTCTTTTTCTCCTTTAATACCATCCCCGATACCATTCCATCATCTTTACAGAACAATATTTTTCAATCTCCCTACCAAACTTGCCATAAAGGTATACCACGAATAATTGTTAGATACGCGTAGCAAGAAATTCAGGTCTCTTATATACAATTAAACGTATCAACAAAATTCTAGCTATGAAAAGTATCCGCTCACGACTGGAAGTCTCAAAGATGGAGCAGCACCAAAGCCCCCAATTTTTCAAACTAAAAAATACGTGCTTATTACACATCAAAATATCCAGATTAAAAAGTAAGTGTAAAAAAAACTCACCATAAAATGAAAAATGAGACCGATACAGAGTTTATGAACAAGAGCTAACAAATCCGTGTCACGGGGATCAAAAGGGTATATACAAATTCCACTTCTCGTATTATGCATGGATCGGGTATATCATGGTGAATTCTTGGGGAAAAATTGCGTCTTCCAGCATGGAGTCTGGGAAGAATCAATCGAGAAGAGCATTAGGGTCCAATGGCATAACTGTAGTTGGAAAATCTGTCCTTTGCCCAACGAGGGAATAATATGCTAGTATATGTGCTGGATGCTCGACAATTACTTGTTCATTTGCATCTTGAACACAAACTCGTCTAACAGGAATCAACTCAATATTCCAGTTTGGCCGCACCATTTTTAAGAGATCCAGACGATTCACAGACCTATATCCTTGCACCCACAAATACCTCAGGGAAGTTAGTTGAATTGCGGCAATAGCCAGTGCACGTTCGCTAAAGCAACATCCCCTCATTTCTAACTTTTGCAGGCTAGGACAGCCTTTGGAGAACTCCAGAAGACCATTATCAGATTCCCCAACATAACCCAGAAGCATCCATCTTACTTTTGGGCTGTACCTCCCAATATAACTCAGACCCAAATCTGTCAACCCTCCTGGGCGGAGATACAGGGCAAACCTCCTAAGCTTATCACAACCAATTAGTAAGGATCGAACTCCATTGTCAAGTGGCAAATCTGTTATTGTTTCTTCACGGTCAAGCAAGACCAATCGAAAGTCACACATGTTCTTTGAGTATGTACCAATACATTCCAAAGATTCATTTGTGATATCAGAAACGTACACAGCCAAATATTCCAGATCAAGGCATCCCTGAGCCAAAGCAATTAATCCTCTCTGGGAAACTATACCCTCAACATCTTCCATTTCTTGTTCATCAGCTCCTCGCTCAATCCTAAGTCGCTTCATTTTCTTACAACGCTGAGCTAGAACTTCCAAACCTCTATCTCCAATAACATTCCTTGTCTGTCAATAGAGATGTTTTTTAGTACTCAATTTCAATATTTCATCAGTTTCAATCAAGAAAAATCGTACACATCTAAACAATCATACATTATCCATGTCAAAAATTAATTGTGAAAAGTTCACATATCAGTTTAGCCTAGAAAAAAAAATGAGTTGTCTTTACAAGAAACAATATCAGCATAGCAACCAAGCAACACACGACAGCTGAATGCAAGTGGAGGCTATATATTTTGACCCAGTATATCACAGCAAAAAACACAATAAATTAGCAGGGATGCCATTTTCCAGGGGATTAAACCATCAAGGAAAGGACAACCAATAAGAAGTAAGAATAATCCACCCACCCCAGAAGACAGCGAAAAACGAAAATGAGGAAGAAAACAACTACACACACGGATGGAACAAGAAAAATAGCAGACAAACTACTACACCAAGAAGAGCATGGCAGGAGATTCCATGAGAATGTTACTAGTTTCAGAGATCAAGTGGATGTGATTTTTCTACAAAATCAAAAATTAGTCCATATTTAAATCAACCATGAAAAAAATTTGCTCTCTTGTGAAGTTCTAATAGCAACACTTTCGGAGATTATTCCATTAGTCTTGACTTACAAGACGAACTAGTTTTTGATTTTCACAGTTTATCTCCTTCCATCATAAATTTCACCTAATCTTCATATGGCGTTATTGTTAAGATCAGTTTCTCAGCAATGAATTCGTATTCATCAGGAGAGGAGATGAGTAGGTTTGGAAAATTATCTGATGAATACCGACGGATTGAGTTATTTCAGCAAACCATGATATAATTACATCCAAGGACCTAATGAAGTACCTTTGAACACGAAAAATATATTCATGCCCACAAAAACACAAACCAGGTTGCAATCAATGTTTCCAAACTCTGATCCAGTAATTCTGAAAGATAAAGCATCCTATGCAAAGAAGACCGACTCAATGCAAACTTCAATGTGTAGAGTAGAAATTTTAGGCCACGTGAAGGAAACAGACATACATGACAACATAAGTATGAGGAGAAAGAGAGGAGAGATTTTAAAATGTAACCTCGAGGGTTTCCAAGTTGGGGCATCTTCCCAGTAAGACACAGTGACCTTCTGTGTCAAGCAGAGCGTAAAGGAGATCCAATTTTTTGAGTCGAGCAGCAATTGGGAAGACGAGGGGCATTTCTGCTTTCCCCAAATAAGTAAGGCCCAAGCAACATAATCTCGGGGGAAACGATACAGCAGAATACTTCCCTAATAACTCATTAAAGACACCCTCACCAATCTGTCCAGGTGGCTCATTAAAAGAACCCCCACCAAACTCTTCCAGTGCGTTAGCTGCTTTAAAGAAACCAATCAGATCTGATATATCACAGTCACTGATCTTCACTGAGGTCAAAGAGGGACAATTTTTGGCCATTAGTTCAAGATCTGCAGATCTCACTTTGGAAAGATCTGTCATGTAGAAGTTCACATTTTCAAGAACTGTATTGTTCAAAGCAAGCTCGTGCAGCCATTCCCCATCATTCTCATCCATTGTACTCTCTTCCATAAACAAGGTTTTTAAATTCCTGCAAAGGTGTAAAGATGAATAGATAATCAATAACGAAAATATAGATACACAAGAAAAATCACTAGACCACAAGGATTCAGGGAGACAAGATTGCTAAAAATCATTGCCCAATCTCTCAAAGCAACACTACATTTTGCAATGTGCATTGGCCAATATACCTTTTATTTGCAACTAACTAGTTCTCATTGAAATTTGTTTTCCACCAACTTACAAGTCAAGTAAATGAACATATCAAATGACAACGCAATCTACCAAGACCAAAAGAGGGATGCATAAAAATGTTTTTCTTTAGTTTCTATCTTAGTTTCTCTTTCTTTTCTTCATTTTTTTTTTTTTTTCAAACAGGGGACGTTGGGTTGATTTAGGGTGTTTTGCCTCTCGTGGAAGCATTCACCATTTGATTTCTCTTCATATGAACTCTATATATCCCCTTATCCTCGAGATATACAAGGTCACTGTGTTAAAGTCTAAATGCAGTCACTATAGTTTTGTGAATGTATTACTTGAGTAACCATTCCTGATTAAATCCTATAAATCTGAAGCTGCAAAAGACATGACAAAAAATGGGATTATGTACAAATTACTTGTCAAAATTCCAAAGGCAAGAGAAATCAAAATCCTCTAGCAGTAATGAAAAAGAGAAAGTACTGTCTGATTCAGAATTGTGGTACCATTTCCAAAAATCCCATGGCACGTCACTGAAAAAATTTCAGCAAACAGAAAATATTCCTACCATAAAAGAGAAGATTGATCCAGAAATTTCTCAAGATTATAGAGATCACCAAAAACACTTTCTATTTCATTAAAAATCAAAATGTATCACCTAGGGGAATCAAACTTTGAACTATATGGTAACTAAGCGGACTGGAAAACCAACAGGCAGGAGTTCGCCCCCAAAGAGTCTCCAAAACCACATTCTATTTTTAATTAAAAATCAAAATGTATCACTAAGGGGAGACAAATTTTAAACTTTATAGTACCCAGGCAGAGTGGAAAAATCAACAGGCTGGAGAACACCCAACAATTTTCCAAAGCCCCATTCGATTCTTCATAGATAAATACACACACACAAAAGGAAACCAAAGGAGCATCCATCATGAGTTTATCACATGAGCAAATAACTGCAATGCTTCACATATTGCATTGCATAATAACTGTAACCACCAGTTTTGGGTGAATGTATTTCATTCAATTTGCATAATCCATAAGTAATATAGGGAACACCCTTCTAGGTCTCAAGCAACCGAAGAATCAAGATATTACGAAATATCTAAACATCTCCCAAAATTTGGTGGTCAAAAAGAAGAATATTCATTATATATAGCTAAGATGTCACCACAAAAAATTCAACAGTTAAACGTAAGCCAACCAATAGACAACATCGGTATTTGAACAGAGCAACATTTGATCTTAGCATTGTTTGGAAAAAAGTATCTAAATGCTATATGAACAACAAAAAATAACGTCATGAGAGCAAATTTGTAAGATGTAATAAACTGACCGGAATGCTAAATGACTCGGACCTCAAAACCTGTCATTAAAAATCACAATGATAGATAAGAAAAACTCAAATTTTGGAATAGTTAGCACAACGTGAATCCATAGAAACAACATTCCCAAATGTGCATGCTGATACAGAACGGTGTTTAAACAATCCTCTCAAACTTATTTGGTAGTTTAGTCAACAATAACCCTATATGTGACTCCAAGAATATTCCTCTTCCTGTATCAGATTTAACCCCTTCATCCAGATAATCTCAAATAACTAAATTGATAAATCGATATAAAAGAAATTTAATTTAAAATTCAATCATAAAACACAAATAATTTAATTTGTAATTCAAAAGTAAAACACAAACAACATAATCCAGCAAACATTTATCCAAGGACCACCACATCCCACACTACGTTTAACCAAAAAATATCAAGAACCAAGTTTCAAATATTCATATATTTATAAACATAATCAAGAACGCTGGATAAGTGAATTAAACAATCAAATATTTATCACCACGGAAAATCATCAAGAACAAACTGATAAATTCACAAGAAATAAAAAAGAATAAATAGGATTTTCCAGCTGTAACCATATCTAAAAATAAAACAACAATCCCCTTAAAAAAAATACAAAAGAGTGGGTTATTTAAAGACAACAATTTATCATTTGAATCTGTAATCTCTTTTGAAGAATAAACACGAATTTCCAGAAATAATATATATGAGTATGCAAGTACACAACCAAAAATAGCAATCTAGAAGCAAATAAATTAAGAAGAAACGCACCATACAACAAATAATCATGTAAAGTCATGTTTTGCTCTACAAAAAGCCAATAATAATAATAATAATGACTCAATTAATAAGTCAAACAATTTGCAACTTCAAAAATTAAAAAGCGACGTAAAAATTCGTTCTTTTTCTATTTTTTTACCTGCACAGGCGGCCAATAATTAGGAGACCATCGGTAGAAAATCCCGAGCACTTATCGAGCTTCAAGACTTCGAGAACCTTTCCAGCCGGAGACTTTGCAAGCAACTCGAGATCCGAATCCGTCACAATCATCCTACGGAAGTGTAAAGTCTTCATTCTACCGAAAGACTTGTCGATCTCCTCCACCCAAGAAGTAACATATCCACCCCAGTCTTCGGGGATAAGGTTGAACATAGCAGCACGGGGCTTTCCCTTGAGCTTGAGCGACTCAAGGTGAGGAAAGCGGCGCGATAGCCGCTCCGGCGTAGCCGTGTAACACAACGCAATTGTCACATGCTTGCGGGTCAAGGCGTCGATCTCGTACCAGCGTTTGCACACAAGCGACACAGCGTCCCGGTCACGCGGGTCCTGCACGTACGGGATCACGCACTCCCAAACGGTGTCGTCCGCTCCACTACTACTACTCCCACAATTTCCCATTCCACTGCTGCTATTACAACGAATTAACTTAAACGGTCTCTGCCCTTTCATTCCCAACCAATTCAGGCTCGATTTACTCTTTGGGAATAAGGGTTCTCGACAGCTGATGGATAAGAACCAAGTTTCTAGAAGTTGGAGAATGAATACACGGTGTAGATGGGTTTCAAGGCATGATCAGAGGGTGAGGAATGGATAGGGGAGGATTGGACCTTGGGAGAGGAAAAAGGTTCTCTCCTATAGCTGGTGTGGGGTCTTGATTATTGTGCAAGAGAGAAGTGTACATGTGTGCGGCTCTAAAATTGAATGGGAAATACGACAAAACGATAATAATTATTTTATTATTTATATTTTCACCCCGGTAGAAATTAAAATTAGATTTTCAATTAATTGTGATAGAAGGTCACTAAATTTAGTAATTTTCATTCCAAATAATTTCAGGAACCAATTACTATCACTTTTCGTACCGTTCGAATTCTTGTTATTTCAGTACCGTCATCGTAGCAAGAGAAATAATAGAAGAAAGCTCAATCGATCTAATTTATAATGCAGAGATAGCTTTCAGTAGTTCAATGTTTAAACTCATGCGATGAGTTCATGCGATGAACTCATCGGATGAATCACTATACAAAAAAAAATTAGGCCATATTTGTTTCTGATTAAAATTAGATTTCAATTTAAGTCAAAATCAAACAATCAATAGTAACTACGTCTTTTATGGATCCCGCAACTTTTTAACCACACGTTTCAAAAATTTCTATCACAATCTATTAAAATTTTAATTTTAATCCCCACCAAATACCACTAAATTTATTTTTAATAAATATTGTAATAAAATTAAATAATATTTTCAATAAATATTGCCAATAATTAAATAACAACTAAAAAAATTAAGATTATACATTGCTTGATAATACAAAAAACATAAATAATTTGATAAATTTAGTTTATCAAGAAAATTTTGCTAATAGATCTTTATTAGGCATTTAAAAAAAAAATCAAACACTAAAGAAAAATTCCATTGTAATAAAATAACAATAAAATGAATTAATTGTCGATAATGAAAAATAAATAGATAATCAAATTTAGGACAAAAAATTGTTGATGATTTTGATTGTTTTACGTATCCAGATTGGGACCACGTTATTGTCATTTCCCATCGAGTAGTTGCTCGTTCCATCTTGGGCCCTATCCTCACTTGTATGGGGTTGAAGTAGGGAAACCCCTTATGTGTTTGTCCTTTGTTTAACTTTTTCAATTGTTATCTTCTTTCAAAACTCTTTTTTTCTACTCATTTTCACAAAATATTCTTCACGTAAATCTAATTTTTTTCCCTAATTTTTAACCATATATTATTAAAAATTTTACAATTTAAAAACTTATTCTTTTCAAAAAAAAAAAATTCAAACAGGAACTAAATAAGTAACGGTTCTACATTTAAATGAGCAATGAATCAAAATTATGGTCTTTTATTTTTAGTCCATTAGTACAAATTTTTTTATTTATATTTTATATAATGTAATATAGTAAATAAAATATATTTATGGATGGGCACGAAGACAAGGGTGAAGACCATGTTCCCTGTCCCCTTCATGTTGATGTACCCAACTTGGATAAGGACTTTTATCATATTCTCAGCATCGATCTCGTATTAGTCGAGGAATCTTTCTCTCGCCATTTCGAGTATTGCAGAGATTCTGGATTCTCCACTTCTTCACCATCCCTAGATGGTTTTCCATTTGTTATCGCCGACGATATTACCGTAGATAATTACGTACAAAAGTATATCAATGATCACTGACAACAATATAGCTATTTGTAATCCAACTAAATTATTTGTTACATTATTATTTTTATAACCATTCTAGAGCAAGACTCTCAACAATTTCGACTAAAGTCCACAAGTTATAGTAAAACCTCTTTATAGTTATATAACGTTGGATCAAACTAATTTTATTACTAAGTGTTGTTATTCCTTCAATCCCATAAAAATCGACCTACTGCCATTTTACATAGATTAACAAAATGTAACTGATATAATAAAAAATATAAATTTTACTTACATCTTTCCTAATATATCTCTGCATTAAATCATTTTAAATAGGAGTAATTCATATATGTTGATAAAAGATACATTAAATACGAATATATTAGAAAATCAAGAAATTAACTATATTCTCTATAAGGAAAGTGACATATAATTTGGAAGAAAGTTAAAAAATAAAAAAAAGGGTATATATTTATGGAACGGAGGAAATATAATTTAAAATAGGTGGTGTTGCAATCAAGATATAATTTAATGCAATCGAATATTTATCATTTGATTTAGTGCAAATTTAGCTAGATGTGAAATATTTACTTATAAATAAATAATTAAAATTTAAAATAATTTTTTTATTAAAAAATTAAAATAAATTGCTTAATTTAGAAATAAGTCTTAGTTTTTATATGAAAAACGATTAACTTTCTTTTTTTTTCCAAGTAAGAAGAAGTAATATTTTTTAGAAACTATAGGTTCTATATCATTGAGACAAAACTATTTAGCAAACAAGAGAATTTATACAACTTTTCTAGAATTACGTATGAATAACCATAATTATATCAAAATATTTAATGTCTTCATTCTACTTCCCACCTATTATTATTATTGTTGGTGGTGGTGGTGGTGGTGGTTTCAATACAGTTGAATTGCACTTCTGTATTATATATTTCTCTTACTTTTATGTTAAAACAAACGTTTGAAAGAATCATTTTAATTAATTTATTTCGACTTTGATATTTATATGGAAATTTTTTTTAAAAATTAATTATGTAGGTGACTCGTAAATGACTAGAAAAATAGCTTTAGGGCTTGTTTGATAGCCCAAGATTTTTCATGGAAAATATTTTCCAACTTCGCATTTTGTCTTGTTTGATGCAAAAACTTTTCCATGAAACTACTTTTCTTGATTTGCTTCACACGAGTGCAATTTCCTTGAATTAGTGGGAAACCAATTCCCATCAATTTGGTGAGAATTGGTTTTCCAGCCAACTTTTTTTAAAAAAAAAAAAAAAATTGGTAATAAAAATAAATTATATCCACAATTGTGAAAAAAATTTCCCTTTAATGGACAATTTCTATGAAAAATAAAATCAAACGAACACCAAAAGATCCAAAATTTCAAAATGAAACACAATTAATTACAATTTCCAATAAAACAATTTTTAGGCAATTCAATTCCCTGAAATTCATTTTCTTTTCACCAATTTTCCACATTTGCAATCAAACAGACCCTTAGAGTAACTTTAAGTTTAACCAAAACGCTTCATTCTAAATATGATCAATTGAGCGTTGATCATTAATTTAGTGCAAGCTCAGCTAAATGTTAAATATTTACTTATAAGGAAATAAATAAATTTTAAAATCATAATTTTCTCTTTAATAAAAATTGAAAATAAATTGTTCACTTTAGAAATAACTCCTACACTGCTATTTAAAAAAAAAGCTACTTTTTTAATTTACCAATAAGAAAAAAGCAGCACACTTTTTAGAAACTACAGGCTCAATAATTTTTGACACTAAACAATTTCATGAACAAGATATTCTCTATCACTTTTCTATTTAACAATTTAGCCTCCGTTTGGGCCACGTTTTTATCTCATTAAAATGAAAAATATTACCGTTATCCATCACATCAACATTTAAATTCAAATTTTCTATCTCTTGTGTAGACCCCAATAACGACTATATTTTTCATTCTCATTTTATAATAAGGTGGTTCAAACAGGGTCTGAAATGTAATAACTGTATTTTAGTATTTATAGGGTCAGAAAGTACAAAAAAAATTAAATAAATAAATAAATAATCCACATGGCAACTCTATAATTCAGATAATCTGAAAAATATAGCAGCGTTAAGAAAAATGTAGAGACATTTCTACATCTTCTTGTTGTTGTCGTTTAAAATTATATCTCGTTTCGTAGGATTTTTTTTTATTTTTTTAAACATTGATTATGAGAAAATTGAGAATCATCTCGAATGAATACAACTTTTGGATTTTTGTGTAATAAAAAGTCGTGTTTAAAAAAAAATGGAAAGAGGATAAAGCAAAATCAATATTAGTTTAAGTGATTGTAAAATAATTATTTTTTTCTGAATTTTTTTGTTTTTAAATTATTCTACAACTTGCATCTCCACAATCTTATTCTTTTCCCTATGTTCTTCAATATTAAATTTGTCCCTTCATCAATAAGAATATATAAAAGATTGACATCTTTTAAATTTTGTGGAACTATTTTACAATTGGGATTCACCTTTTTAATTATTGACCTTGCAAAAGGAATCACATTCCATTTCCTAGTAAGAAAGTTAATTCTCAAAGTTTATATACTTTTCGGTTGAAATGAAGAGTGATGCTACATGGCCCGGCTCAATGATCGGGCCAAAATACAGGTGCCGAGGTGGCACCATACAATTGGAGGGGGAGCTTACCGAAGTCAGCCCCCCTCCAATAACAGGTGGCGCCCTAACAAATGTCCCGGTCATTGAGCCGGGACATTGAGCATTTTTGTGAAATGAAACATTTTTTAGCTGTACGAAAGGTCTATTCTTCATAATGTTACTTAGCTGAAAAACAAAAAATAAAATTATTGGCTTTCAAGGTGGCCTCTCGAACAACTTCCACATACAAGACACGTTGCCGAATAGACTATATTCTTCATAATGTTACTTAGCTGAAAAACATAATATAAAATTTTTGGCTTTCAAGGTGGCCTCTCGAACAACTTGCACGTTCAAGACACGTTGCCGAATAGACTTCACAACGTACATTTTTGTAGGTGTGAGGCCTAAGTCATCACGATAGTCCAAAAATTGAGTGATTGGCTCTAAAGACAATAGTTGCAAATGCAATGAAAGACTCAGAAGTTTTGATGGAGTGCGCAATCCTTTCCGATTTGGAGAAGATGTAGGGATAAATTATTACTTAAAGGGGTTCGAGATCAAGTAACATTCTATTAGAGGGTGGATGTACATAATTGTGATGATCGAAAAATTTGATATTTCTCAAAATAAA